GGCGAAGGAGAGCTGCAATGACTGCTGAGAGAAACATTGGGCCGCCTCACTCTGTGGATGGGGTTTTGCAGCATAGCCTACCAGCCTCACGCACCTCAAGGAAACTAAAAGCCCGGCCCTTCCGACTCCGCTGGTCCCCGGCCTGCACGGCACGGCCATCCTGATTGCTCTCAGGCCTCTCCTGGCCCTCGTTGCCCGCCGGAGTCTCCGTGTGCTTGGACCAAGTCTCCGGGTGCTGCTGCACACGGTACACCAGACTCGATACCTCTGATCGCGTAACTGCGAAAACGAAAGCCCACGCAAGCAAATCCAGAAATAGACAGAAGGGAAACAAAGAAGATGAAGAAGCAGGTCCGTGTGCAGTTTGGCAGGCTTGCTTGGGCAAAGCTTGCACGGTTGGAACCTTGGCAACCCGCCTTTAGCAAACTTGCCTGGGCAGTGGATTGGAGTCTGCTCTGCCAGGTCTGCAGTTTCGCAGAAATGCTTGGGCACTGGGTTGAAACCTTGGCAGGCCGGCAGGGTAATGTAATAACGCTGGAGCCTTGTTGTACTCTTAGGCATTTGACAATAGCGGTGATTAGCGGCAATTAGCCGCGATTAGCGGCAATTCGCGGCAACTAGCGGGCAGCGAATGGAAGCTTGTTGCTTCTGTGTCGCGGCCAATAGTGTATTAAACCCACCATTTCCGGAAATCGTATGGAACCACAGTGAGAGCAAGCTCCAAAGGCACCAAAGTTTAGCCACGCAGTTTGTGCGAACTGGTACGCAATATCTTGGCTAGATTCAATGCGCATGCTCATATACTGGATCAAAACGTGTATGTGAGCACACCCGTACACCCGTACACCTGCATTACACCCGCATGGCACAAGCGGACACATCCATGCCGGAGCAAAATGTGGTGTCAGCATGCTCTGCATGCCAAGTGAATAAAGCCAAGCAATATCTTACAACAGAACTTTTGTGCGGACGAAACGAGCTAAAGAAAAGCGGCATTTAGCGGCAAGTAGCGGGCAGCGCTTAGGAATCTGTTGTTCCGTATTACATCTGCATCGTTGGCCTTGTGAGAAAAAGGGACCCTGGCAAAAGGCGCAAACCCAGCATTTCTGGATTTCGTTCGGCACAGCGAGAGCCACCCTCGAAAGAAACCGATTTTTAGCCACTTGTGCGAATGAATTTGTTAAATCGAAATGAGTGTGATTTACATCTCGCAAAATATTTTTTGCGCGAGCCTTGGCAAACGAAACACGCCGCCCAAAAATTCGCGGGATTTAGCGGGTAGCGTTTAGGAATATGTTATTTCCGTATTGCATCTATATCGATAACCTCGTGTAAAAAATGCCCCGGCAAAAGGCATATTAAGTCCGCCATTTCCGGAATTCGTACGGCATCACAACGAGAACACACCCTGGAAAAGCAACAAAATTTGGTCATCTGTGAAACTTCGCAAACACACCGGCTAAAAAGAATACCTTTATCGTGCCCGGCCTTTACTCTTACCATTAAAAATAACCCTTAGTATACAAATACAATACTAGTCTAAGAAACAAAACACGCATCCCCAAAACCACAAAGTCCCCTACCTCAAGCCAACAGTATCTGACCCGTAAACAAAAAGCCAAAAAAAAAGAAAGGTAAAAGGCCCCCAAACCCAAAACTCCTTGCAAGGAGGTGTCGCGGCATTTCAAAAAAAAAGGCAGGAACGGTGACCGTGTCCCAAGGCCAGGCTGGGCGTACCGGCCACCGTCCCCCCCTTATGTAATAGCAAGCAGAGCCCAGTGTTACCCATATTCAAGGAAAAACCATAGCCGATGGCCCACACGCATCATAGAACTTCAGCAAGCACCCAAAAGAATAGCTGCGAGGGTTCGGTTTTTGCGATTCTGCGAGGTGTGCAGTTTGGCAGACTTGGGTCCGCTTTGCCTGCGCAAAGCAGCAAGGACAGCTGCATCCAGAGGTATCCAGGGAGAGCAGCTGTAAGACTTCGATGTGATCACTCAGAATCAACTCCCGCGATTTTTCAGGACTTGCAAAAGGACAACACAGCCTGCCGCCAAGAACTTGGACGGTCCAATGCCAAGTTTGCTTTCAAAACAGTGTGGCATGTGGATATGGCAAGTGGCAAAATGCTTCAGCGTCCTCTCCATCTCTAGAGCTTCAGCCGCAAGCGCTGGGCTCCTGTGGGGCTCCTGGCTGCTCGCTCGCCTCCGGGAGGCGCCGTCCACCTCGACCTCTTGGATAAAGGTATTGCGATAGACCAGCGGCATGCGGAAGGAGAAACCCAGCTACCGCTACCCAATGTCGTTTCGTCTCTTGACGATGAGCCCAAGAGCTGCCGCCCAATTCCAGAGTCCGAAGCAAAGCTTCTCCATTTCTCGCCCGCATGGAACAGCTGCGAAGTGGTTTGTTGAGCAGAGCTCCTTTTGCCCCCTCCTGCAACTTTGTTGCCCGGGCCAAGGCGAGCCTGCCTCCGCAATGATACGGGAGTGTTCTGCGGGGAAGCAGAGATTGTTCCAATAGACCTCAGCTCTTCTTGCCGGCCTCAAATTCGAGGCCGCTACATGAGCTGGCATTCATTCAACTGGGTTTATGTCAGGCCTCTATGAAGGTGCTGATTCCCAGCTGTGCCGGTTTGACTCTCAGTTCTGCACCAGCCTGGCGCCGTCCAGCACGTCCAAGTGCTCCGTGATGTCCCCGTGAACGAGGGTCTGCGGGCAACAAAGCTCAATGCTGCTGAGGAGATTTCTGAATACGATGGCATCTGACTCGCACCAGGCAAGTACTTGGAGCCCCGCGACAGCCGGGCTGGCAGCCTGACAGCCAGTGGAAAGGGACTTGCAATGTCCACTGCAAACTGAAAAGCGGAGGTCCCATTCCACTTCCGGAGGGACCTAAACCCAAAAACGGCCAACCTGATTCAAAAAGTGATTGGCCGCTTCGGTGCGGCGTTATTTGGCATCTGCGAAACCCAGAAAGGATCTAATCCCGGAATCAATATGAGAGGAAAGCAGCGTGGCTTCACAGGCTGGCTTTAGTAGTCGTGGTGCGGGGAGTTGGTGAGTTTCAGTACAAGTTGTACAAGTTATACAAGTTGTACAAGATGGTACGAGTGATACGAGAGGTACAAGATCGACAGCGAATTTCGCTTCGTGGCCTTCGCTTTGGCCTCTTCGTGGCGCTCCTTCACTGCCTTCGCAATGCCAGGCGTCCGGTCGCCAACGCCACGCGCCACGCCGTGCGGCCTCGATGCCTCTGCTCTCGTTGAAGCCGGCCTGCAGCAATTCGGCCTCCCTTCCGAAGTCATTGATTTTTGAAGGATGAGACGGATGGGAGTTCGTGGGGTTCAAGACACCCATGGTTGGCCTTCTTCATATTCACATCTAATCTGCAATGCTTGCGCTCCATGGGTTTTTGAGCTTGCCTCCAGAGCCCAGAGCACAAAATGTCCTGCTCCAGAGCCTCAATGTATTGACATGATTGTGCTACGACTTGCAATTGATCTAGGGAGAGGGCCAATGTCCACGAAGATGCCACCTAGCCATCAGCATCAAATCTTGTTGCTTGTTTCTATGGAATCGTGAGTAGTGCAGGTGTGGGCTCCATTAGTTCTGAAAGCACCCATGGAGGAACCCAGCGGCTGGGTTGCTCCGCTCAGCCTTTTTCGAACCGGTCAACGGCTAAACCCTCTGACTACCAAGTCGGTCACAAGTTCAACGGACGCCGGGAATCTTTAGCAAGCCTCGAGGTGGAACCATTGACATGGCCAGCTGAGCTTTTGAGGAGCAGCCAAGGTCCCACACGCCTGGACTGACCAAGCTCGCGACACCGTGCATGCCACGCCTCATGTCAGCCGGCCAATGGCTTCCAGGGAAGCCCGGGGTGCTTTTGAATGTGTTTCTTGGCTTTGAATGCCTTAGATACCTCAAGTTGAGGCTCTTCCGGGCCTGGCCCCTCCGCAAGTGTCCATAACGTCACTATGACCAATCCGTCGCTGAGAAGCCCACGCAGTAATTTCACCATACGTTCTCATCGGATCGCAGCTGTCAATGCCTCCAGTTCGGACCACATTTCATGTCCGAGTGCGCAACGCTGAGCTCCAACGCGCGTGTTAGAGTTGCGAGTTTGCAGTGAGGGTGAGGTGTTGTCAGTCATAAATCAACACAGCTTGAAGCGCTTCGTATCGCTTCGTCCGCCACTTCAAGCCCAAAGCCTCAACCCTAGACCCAGTATGGCTCATCAGGAGGGCAACAACAAGGCTGAGCCTGCATTGCTTTTCAAGTGTTTCAGGGAGCATCCGTGTGAGAACCTGGCAAGACTGTTGGAGTGTTAGTCCATCAAGCGGGACTGGCTGAGGCCACAGCTGCCATTCTCCACCCGCATGGCAGGTAACCGCTGGTAGGTCAACACAATGGCCTTTGAAGGCTCGGAAGCGAACCTCCAGCCAGCCCCAATCCCTTCCTACAGTCGAGGCCTCGAGCATGTTTTGACTCGAAAAGAGCTTGAGTCACTGAGCCCTGCGCCATCAGCGGCATGGCAAAGACGCCAACGATGCGAAGCGTCAAAGGAGGCCCGGGCCATGCATCGCAGAGATCTCGCCAGAAGCTCCTAGAAAAAAGGAACATCCGGGCGTCACTCCTCAACCCCGACAAGCTCTCCACACCAAATGTAGCATCCTGGTGTCTTCCAACCAGCCCTCGTTGCCTCAAGAAACTCTGTGGTTTAAGGTGATGGAGGCTGAAAGTACTGGGAGATACTGGGAGCCGTGCCACAGGGTGCCATGGCAGCGCCAGGTCTTTGACATCCAATTGTGGTGTGTGATGTCAGGCAACCTATATGGGATACAAATTGACGACGGTGCTCCTGATATACAGGCTGGTATCAGTGCTTTCCTCTAGGACTGCGAGCCCAGGTACTCAAGATTGGCCGCAAAGGGCATACCCAACCACCACATACATCTGCAAACCTGTACTGGCACAGGGTCTCAATTCCGGGGTCAGGGCAAATCAAGCAGGGTTTGTCCATCCTGGAAAAGCTCGGACAAGACCTGAGCACAATCCCAAGGCCACACCGACATCGTCAGCTCCTCCGGGCTTCCTGCACAGCCCAGGGAGAAGATATCCATCGAGGCCTCGGCAAGGCCATGATCACGGAAGCATCACGGAAGCGGCCAGATCTGAGTGCCACTCCAGCTCCCTAGAGAAGCGGCCGCGGGAAGCGGCGCCTTTCGGACTTGGAGTGCAATCACTGACAGGGCCACTAGCGCCACTAGGGCCACTAGGGCCACTTGCCAGCGATTGACATGCAGTTCTGACGGTTTGATGCGAGAGGTTGGCTGGTGTCTGTGGCTCGCGGCATCCGGCTGCTCACGATTGGCTATCAAAAATATGCCCAATGAAAATATGACAAAATACTGAAAACATGCCTGCGATTGGCACAAGGGAGAGAAGCTGCTGCTGCCTGAGTCGAAGCGTTCTGGCGCCAAATAGCACCTGTGGCCTCAGTAAGCGCATGCCTTGCGCCCGTGCCCCTGCTCTTGACTCGCGTGCATTTGTTCCTTGCTCCTTGCAATGCATCTCTGGAGCCAGCAAAGGCAAAGGGGTCACCTGTGCACCTCCAGTCCCCGACGATTCCGGTCAGACTCGAAGAAGAAGGAGAACCTTAGGCCCGTTCCACATCTCCCAGCACTGGATGTGAGCCACAAACACACTTGCCAACATCAAAAGTTCGGTCGTCCCTCAGTTTTCGAAAGGGAATCGGGTGTCCTTGCCAGACTAAGAGCAGACTTCCCGTTTTTGTTGTCCGCTGCGTTCCCGCACTTCGACTTCCGCGTTTCAGCTTCTCGGATGCACCGAAGGACGCTCGGCTGCTCAGCGCCCACAACTCTTCGGCAAGTGATTGGCTGACTTTTTATTCTCGGGAATTGGATTGGAAAAAGGTCACTGAGCTTTTCCTACTTGTCGGCATCTCGCTCTCTGGGCGCACAGACTCCGAAGGGTCGTCCTGCCAAAGGCGCTGAGGCGGTTTCAAGTCGAGACCAAGGGAAGACAAATGGCAAGTCTTCGACGACCCGAAAATCCGACAATGGGTCCAAACACAAGGTCCCAGTTTTCCACTCTGTCCGATAGAAATTACTCGTGGTTCGTCTCCTGGGGCAGGAACAGGGGCTTGAAGGTAGCGAAGTCCGTCAACATGACGTGAGACCAAGATCTGGGCCAAAAGGTTCACTGCACCGAGGTCTCTTGTGCTCGAGCGATATGCTCGGCGGAAATCACTGGAGTCAACCGAGTCAACCAGATCTCAGGGCCCCAGCGACACGAAGACATTCTCTGTCTTCAGGTCGCCATGTACGACCTCTCTGAGGCTCTGTCTTCGAGCGAGCGAAGGCCGGACCTGAGACTTAAGGACCGAACGCCTGCGGAGTGCGCCTGGCACACGGAGGCAATGACCTGAAGGCCGGCAAAGCGAAGGATCGGAATTTGAAACGAGCATGTCTCATTCGGCCTCCGGGTGCATCCAACAAGAATCCGGAATTGTGGGACATAGGCCAGGCAAGCAAGGGAGAAAACCGTGAGAAGGTACTGCCGCGTGGCCTGAAAAGCCAGCCATTTCTTCTCCACGCAGGAGAGGAAAGGGCGCGTGTGGATGCGGTCGTTGAGGTTGCGCCTCGGGCGACCACCCATGGCTTCCAGCGGGAAAGTGACATGAAGCCTGTCGTTTGGAAGGGGCTGTCGCTCTGACACGCTGACTGGCAACTGGCATATGTCTTCTCACCATTCACACACTCACGTTTTCATGGGTCCCACTCCAAAGGCCCTTGGGGTTGGGTGACAGATGAAGACCCATTGACAACATGCAACCATCGACTTCTGCTTCGCTCGCTTTCGCCTTTCCCCGCGTGCCCGGCACGAAGTGCTGCCGCAGCAGCACCGAGCTCTGCGAAGACATCTCCATGGCCTCGGAAGCATCGGCATCAGCACCGCACCGGGGACCACACCCGGTGGCTCCCGACATCGGCGACTCTCCGCTCATCTCTCCAAAGCGGCGTAACGGTGTACTTCTTACGTTCCCCCCTGCATCGTCCTTTTGAGCCCTGACAGTACTGCACCGCACCCAGGGCAACAAGTGAGTCAAACATCGGGTGTCGCTTCTGTACTCTCATTGACAAGAGAAGCTTTCTTTCTCACATGCTAATGGCATGGTCACTGTGCAGAAAGGGTCGCGGCCTGGTAGGGCAGAACGTTGGGATGCAGCCAGGACGTGCGCAAAGCATCTCTGACCTGTGCACTGAACCTCTCTTTTCACAACCGCTTGCTTGATGCACCGAATCTGCCGTGCTCGTACCCAAAGAACTGTGGCTTGGAGGCAACATGTGGCAGTGCTAGATGTCCGCTCGCCAGAGGGCGTCTTTTTGCGATGTGTAAGTCGTGGATCCATAAGTCGGTTGCGAGAGAAGCTTGCCGAGCCCCCGCCTGATGAATCCGGCGCTGCAACTCCTTCAGGTCCGGCTGGCCCTCCCTGGCGGATGGCCATCTTGGCCCATGAGAACGTCTTGGCGGCAAGGCGCCGCGGCGCCGCGGCGCCGCGGCGCCGCGCCTGTGAATGAAGAGCTTCACAACCACATCGCCCTCCCGCTCGTGCATGCAACGCATCACCTTGAACCTTGCCAGGCGCAAGAGATGCAAGACGCCGTGCATGAATTCTGACAGGCTGTTAACGCCGCCAACATGCCTAACTGAAGCAAAACCATCAGAGTGAAAGCGCTACGTGATGGCCTCAAGAAAGAAGCCTTTGAGATGCATGGAGGATCGGGCCACATCTGCCATTCATGTCAGGCCATCAAGTAAGAAACATGTTGAATCCATGGAACGCAGCCGACAATCTGCAATGCTCCTGACGTATGTCAAACAGCAAGGTGCTCCCCGTCTTTGCATTTCGCAAAACACGCATGCTGGGCATCGGGCAGCTTGTAACTGCCCAGAACATCTTGATAGGCAATGCCCTGGTACCTGGAGCTTGGCAACGGCCGGTGGCTCCCAAATCCATCTTGCCGGCCCCCCGTTGAGCCCCATGCGCATCGCTATGCTTCCCTTTCCGCTCTGCCAATGATTTCTCTGGCCGGGTTGATAGCATTCCGCATATGCCTTCGACATTGACACCACATTGACCAACATGATCACCTCTTCAAAGCATGAGACGAGTCAAGGGGCCACTTGTATCGAAGGTCAGTTGCCAGTCGCGTCTTTGCTGCGGGGCGAGGCTAGATTGACTCCAACTGGCAAAGAAAGAGACAGGATACAAAAGCAACTAGCCTCGCCCCTAGGGCGTTCCTGGGTCCGAGGTCTGTGCTTCCCCTCTGCCCTCAAATGAGGTCTGCGACGTTCATGGGCATCTCATCAATCTGGGTGGAGTAAAACCTGGCGGCAATTAGTTGAGCGATATGCAAGTCGTGTCACAGTCACCTTGGGCTGTGTCGGAACTCAGCCCCTGACTGCTCGATATCTCGCAGAATTCGGATGTCATCGTTCTTCACCTCGTTCGCAAATCCCGCGATAAAATGCCACACTACATCTCAACGCGAAGCTCGTGTTGGGACTTGTCCGAACCCTGGCCATGATCTCTGTGGCAGTTTTGACCAAATGCCGAATCCAATTCTCTCGGTGCCCCAGCGAAGTTGATGGCGACACCCTTGCGCCCAAAACGGCCGGAACGGCCAATGCGGTGGATGTAGAGCCTGGGCTCAAGTAGCAACCTGCACATTTCGGATGTAAGCGACGCGCACATGTCGGACTTCCTTCCAGGGCAACGGGCACGGCTCCGAAACCAAGTCGTTGAGCTGTCAGCCACGTGTCAACACGCTGCAACAAAAGTGCTCCTAACGCTTCATTTGAGCGCCCTTACAAGTGCGCCAGCGCGACAAATGCACCCTTTCCAGCTCTGCTGCACTTCAACTGTTTGTCTGGGTGGCGAGCTCTCGATTGTTGGGCAGGTCATAACAGATCACCAAAGACACCTGTCAGGTAGATGCGCAAGTCCCAACCATCAAAAGTCCTCCACGCCAAGGGTCCCTTTGTATCAAGGCCTCATGGACGTCAACAATTGGGTGCGATTGCGACAATCCCAAACGAAACCAGGGAGAAGAAACAAGCTTTCAACATTCAATTGTTTCCATGTAACTCAAGACCTGCACATTGCCAATGGCGGTTCGAAACACTCGAAGGGTCTATGCAAACAAGATGCGTTACATCAAAGTGTCTTATTTTTGCACAAGGTGCGGGACAAACGTCGGCACAAATGTCTTCAGCCACAGAGATCTGCCGCAATTCTCCGCACGAGTGACATGGTCTCTCGCCCCCCAGCGCTTGGCTGGAGTCCCTGGGGTCCCTGGGGTCCCTGGAGCCTGCTGCACATCCAAACCGCGGCCCCAAAGGTCCGTGGAGATCAGCACGCGGCTCGTGCCGGAGCGGAACCTCGGAACGGCACGGCTCGGCGCGCGGCTGAACGGCGCACGGTGGATCTAAGGTCGATCAGGTGAGGATACCGGGTGGCCGTTGGTCCGACGCAGAATGATATTCAAATATTCAAATATATTATTATTATATATATATATATATATCCGCCGACCCCTTTCTCCTCAAAGGGGGAGGCGCACGGGAAGGGTGGTTACAGCACAAGTCCAAGGTTGGTTGGTAAATGAGCATAGCCGAAGAGTCAACATTATCAGCGTCATCGTAGCATCCTTTGCACCTCAAAGACGTGTCTTTTTCGTCATCATGATGATTGTTGTCGTCATCCGTGTCTTTTTCGTTTGTGTTTCAAGCGTTGCGTTAGAGCCAGACATTCTGCCCGCGAGGAGGGACTTGCATTCGCAGTGATGATGATTACCATCATGGTGATGATGACACGCTCATCATCATCACATCATCATCGTTGTGACATGATTGGAGATGCAGAGGTTGCGTAGACATGATTATCATCACGACTGTTGGTGATGCAGGGGATGCACGATGATGGTTATCATCGATGATGATAACGGTGATGATGATGATGATGACAATGACGAGGATGGTGCTGATGATGATGACGATGATGATGATGATGACGATGACGATGACGAGGATGATGCTGATGATGACATCGATGATGATGATGATGACATGCTTGCCATTATATCACATCATAATCGTTGTCGTCCTTCTCTTTTTTATATACGTTTCAAAGGTGGCGTTAGAGCCGATTGGAGATGCAGCGGGTGCGTAGTCATGATTATCATCATGACTGTTGGTGATGCAGAGGATGCACGATGATGGTTACCGTCCATGATTACAACGGTGATGATGACGGTGATGACGATGATGATGATGATGATGACGATAATGACCACCATCATGGTGGTGATGACATGCTCATCATCATCACATCATCGTTGTGACCTGATTGGAGATGCAGAGGATGCGTAGACATGATTTCCTCCTGACTGTTGGTGATGCAGAGGATGCACGATGATGGTTATCATCGATGATGACAACGGTGATGATGACGATGACGATGACGAGGAGATGACGATGATGATGATGATGATGACACACTTGTCATATCACATCATAATCGTTGTCGTCCTTATCTTTTTTATATACGTTTCAAAGGTAGCGTTAGAGCCGATTGATCGTTGTGACCTGATTGGAGATGTAGAGGCTGCGTAGACATGATTATCATGATGACTGCTGGTGATGCAGAGGATGCACGATGATGGTTATCATCGATGATGACAACGGTGATGACAACGATGACGATGACGAGGATGCTGCTGACGATGACGACGATGATGATGATGATGATGATCATGACACGCTTGTCATTATATCACATCATAATCGTTGTCGTCCTTGTCTTTTTTATGTACGTTTCAATGGTGGCGTTAGAGCCGATTGGAGATGCAGCGGGTGCGTAGTCATGATTATCATCATGACTGTTGGTGATGCATGATGACAGCGGTGATGATGACGGTGACGACGATGATGATGATGATGACGATAATGACCACCATCATGGTGATGATGACATGCTCATCATCATCACATCATCGTTGTGACCTGATTGGAGATGAAGAGGATGCGTAGACATGATTTCCTCCTGACTGTTGGTGATGCAGAGGATGCACGATGATGGTTATCATCGATGAGATGATGACGATGACGATGACGAGGAGATGACGATGATGATGATGATGACACGCTTGTCATTCTATCGCATCATACTCGTTGTCGTCCTTATCTTTTTTGAAACGTTTCAAAGGTGGCGTTAGAGCCGATTGGAGATGCAGCGGGCGCGTAGTCATGATTATCATCATGACTGTTGGTGATGCAGAGGATGCACGATGATGGTTATCGTCCATGATGACAACGGTGATGATGACGGTGATGACGATAATGATGATGATGATGATGACGATAATGACCACCATCATGGTGATGATGACATGCTCATCATCATCACTGTGACCTGATTGGAGATGCAGAAGATGCGTAGACATGATTTCCTCCTGACTGTTGGTGATGCAGAGGATGCACGATGATGGTTATACCCGATGATGAGATGATGACGAGGAGATGACGATGATGATGATGATGACACGCTTGTCATTATATCACATCATAATCGTTGTCGTCCTTATCTTTTCTATATACGTTTCAAAGGTGGCGTTAGAGCCGGTTGGAGATGCAGCGGGTGCGTAGTCATGATTATCATCATGACTGTTGGTGATGCAGAGGATGCACGATGATGGCTATCGTCCAGGATGACAACGGTGATGATGACGGTGATGACGATGATGATGATGATGACGATAATGACCACCATCTCATCATCATCACATCATCGTTGTGACCTGATTGGAGATGCAGAGGATGCGTAGACATGATTTCCTCCTGACTGTCGGTGATGCAGAGGATGCAAGATCATGGAAATCATCGATGATGACAACGGTGAAGATGACGATGACGATGACGAGGAGATGACGATGATGATGATGATGATACGCTTGTCATTATGTCACATCATACTCGTTGTCGTCCTTATTCCCCAGATAGCTGAAAGCTATAGGGGTTCTAACTTCTAATAAAGAGGGGAAAGTGATTTGCGAGATTGAGGGCCGGGTGCTAGGGGGCATGCAGTTTGAGGTGCTGGTGGATGCTGCTTTGCGAGCTTGACGCCGGGTGCTAGGGGGCATGCAGTTTGAGGTGCTGGTGGATGCTGCTTTGCGAGATTGAGGGCCGGGTGCTAGGGGGCATGCAGTTTGAGGTGCTGGTGGGTGCTGCTTTGCGAGCTTGACGGCCGGGTGCTGGGGGGCATGCAGTTTGAGGTGCTGGTGGATGCTGCTTTGCGAGCTTGACGGCCGCGGTGCTGCGGGGGCATGCAGTTTGGGGTGCTGGTGGATGCTGCTTTGCGAGCTTGACGGCCGGGTGCTAATGCAGTTTGGGGTGCTGGTGGATGCTGCTTTGCGAGCTTGACGGCCGGGTGCTTGGGGGCATGCAGTTTGGGGTGCTGGTGGGTGCTGCTTTGCGAGCTTGACGGCCGGGTGCTAGGGGGCATGCAGTTTGGGGTGCTGGTAGGTGCTGCTTTGCGAGCTTGACGGCCGGGTGCTAGGGGGAATGCAGTTTGGGGTGCTGGTGGATGCTGTTTTGCAAGCTTGACGGCCGGGTGCTATGCAGTTGGGGGTGCTGGTGGGTGCTGCTTTGCGGGTGCTACGGGGCATGCAGTTTGGGGTGCTGGTAGATGCTGCTTTGCGAGCTTGACGGCCGGGTGGGGGGCTGCTGGTTTGCGAGCTGGCCGGCGAGCTTGACGGCCGGGTGCTCGGGGGCATGGGATGCTGTTTTGCGAGCTTGACGGCTGGGTGCTGGGGGCATGCAGTTTGGGGTGCTGGTGGATGCTGTTTTGTTTTTCGAGCTGGCCGGGTGCTAGTGGCATGCAGTTTGGGGTGCTGGTGGATGCTGTTTTGCGAGCTTGACGGCCGGGTGCTGGGGGGCATGCAGTTTGGGCTGCTGGTGGATGCTGTTTTGCGAGCTGGCCGGGTGCTAGGGGGCATGCAGTTTGGGGTGCTGGTGGATGCTGTTTTGCGAGCTTGACGGCCGGTTCTAGGGGGCATGCAGTTTGGGGTGCTGGCGCATGCTGCTTTGCGAGCTTGACGGCCGGGCGCTAAGGGGCATGCAGTTTGAGGCGCGGGTGGATGCTGCTTTGGTTGTACCGGGTGCTAGGGGGCATGTTTGGGGTGCTGGTGGATGCTGTTCGCGTGTAACGGTTCGTGGCTGGTGTATCGTCATGATGTTCCCACGTTATGGTGTGTGGGTGTAGTGGCGCCGTGATGCTGTCAACATCAGGATGATGCAGAATTTCATTAAGCTGTCGCAAGATGGTTCGTGGCTGTGGTATCATCATGATGCTGTCTTTACCATCAGCATGATGCTGTTCGCATCACCATGATGCTGCCCGCATCATCCGCATCATCATGATGCTGTCGAACTCATCAGGACCTCGGCTTGTTTCGTGGCTGTGGTGTCATCATGGTCTACATCCTCATGATAATGCTGCGTCATGGTTCGTATCCGTGGTGTGCTATCTGGGGTCTATGCTGGTGTATTCTTTTTTATATACGTTTCAAAGGTAGCGTTAGAGCCGGTTGGAGATGCAGCGGGTGCGTAGTCATGATTATCATCATGACTGTTGGTGATGCGGAGGATGCACGATGATGGTTATCGTCCAGGATGACAACGGTGATGATGACCGTGATGACGATGATGATGATGATGACGATAATGACCACCATCATGGTGATGATGACATGCTCATCATTATCACATCATCATCGTTGTGACCTGATTGGAAATGCAGAGGATGCGTAGACATGATTATCATCATGACTGTTGGTGATGCAGAGGATGCACGATGATGGTTATCATCGATGATGACAACGGTGATGATGACGGTGATGATGACGATGAGGATGACGAGGATGATGCTGATGATGATGACGATGAAGATGATGATGACACGCTTGTCACTATATCACATCAAAATCGTTGTCCTCCGTATCTTTTCTACATACGTTTTCATGCCTGTTGGTAATGCAGAGGATGGACGATGATGGTTATCATCGATGATGACAACGGTGATGACGATGATGACGACGATGATGATGCTGATGATGACGACGATCATGATGAGCATGTTTACCGTCATCATCATCGTCGTCATCATCATCAGCATCATCACCATCGTCATCATCATCAGCATCCTCGGCATTGTCATCATCATCATCACCGTTGTCATCATGGACGAGAACCATCATCGTGCATCCTCTGCATCACCAACAGTCATGATGATAATCATGACTACGCACCCGCTGCATCTCCAATCGGCTCTAGCGCTACCTTTGAAACGTATATTAAAAGATAAGGACGACAACGATTATGAT